TCCCCTACCATCCCTTCCCTCTAAATGGGATTATTTCTCCCTAGATATGAGCCATTTCAAACGGCCTGACAATCTCCTTCTGTCACCAAATTTGAAGCATTCCTTGTGGAGGCATCCAATGAGAATATTTTTTTGACATAAAAGGCTAAGTCCTCAGTCTTTTCTCTTTACTTTTGCTCCTGAGGCTGCCAGCAGCATCTTTATTGACTTAAAATACTCAGCCCTTTTGCTTTTAGCTTGCCCCATTGTTACCCTGGCAATCCTGAAGTGTGGTCCTAGTGCAGGAACTCCTCAGGGCTCTTTTGTTGACTTTTCCAAATCCTTCAGTTCACTTGTTATTCAAGCCCCATGTTGGGTGCCACTTGTTGCTAACCACAACCAGGATCACCAAGATGACAGGATACCTGGCCAATGAAAGAGAAAAGAGAGAAACTACAAAAGGAGACAGCAGGGGATCCAGAGCTGAGATCTCAGTAACAAATCTTTTAATTTAGTTCAGTATTGATACTAGGGTATGAATATCTTTGAAGTTATAACACTATGCATAATTTGCATACAAATGATAATGGAGTCCCTTATCTTATGAAGCAGAGGGAAGCAATAAGCACTCCAACATTAGCATAGACATTTATTTATTTATTGTGAAAATACTGTACAGAGGGGTTACAATTACATGGGCAAGATAATGAGTACATTTCTTATCAAGCATTGTAGCCTCCTTCTTTGTTTCCCCTTCCCATCCCTTCCCATCCTCCCACTGTCCCCCTCCCAATCCTCCTTCCCCCCACCAAAGTTGTAAAGTTCGTTTTAACATAACGACTTGTATATCTCATTGTTGCAATGGGTCCACCTGTATACCTATTTAAACAATTTGTTTTTCCCCTTCCCCTCCACAAATTATATTGAAATCAAATATAGCAAATGCAGGGGTTATACTGTGGGGGAGGGACATACAAAGCTACAAAGAAATCATCTTATAAATGTGTTAGAAACAATCGCATGAAAGAAAACAAACATTTGAATACATATCTTAGGGTTCATTTCCCTAACATCAACTTATCTGACCTTTTCTGCTTGACTCAGGCATATACTAGATATTGCAAATAAGGGAAACCATGGGACCTATGTTTCTTTGGGCCTGGCTTACTTCACTTAATATAATTTAAAAGTTATATTAAGCATAGACTTTTATCTTATTTCCAAGGTTTTAAACTTTGGATGCACAAGCATCCAAAGCCTTGACTGTTTGATATTTCCAGGGCCCAGCTTTCAGCCTTCTGGTTACTGTTGAGATGGCTTTCCAATTTCTTAACCCTTTCCAGGCCTCACAGCTCAGCTCCAGAGTTCCCTACATAAATCCATGTTTGAATTCCTTTTATTAAGTAAACAAGCAGCTCCAGACATCAAGCAGGCTTCTGACATCTTCATCAGCTCAAGCATTATTGCAGACTATGAATCCCACCACATGCTCAGTAGCTTTATCACTGCTCCTCAGGTCAGCCAGTCTGTCCTCTCCCTTGTGAAGTCCTCCCACATCTCTGTCACTGACACATTGAAAGTTCCACAGCCCCACCTGATGGTAATAAATAAAGCAGCTACAGATCTCAAACTATTGGGGCAGTTGTTCATTTACTCCTACACAAACACAAAGAAATTACTGTTATACACTAATAGTATCAGGGATGATCATCAACCCTGAAATCTTGAGCACAGCAAAGAAAATCAATGAACTCATAGAGCGTTCAATTTAATGATATTGACAGACATCACATGAACAAAGACTGTTCTGGCTGTTCTTAACTTGGACTTTGAAGATTCTTACCCTTTTTTTTTGTGCTGTCTAGGCCTTTGAACTTAAGGCCTGGATGCTGTCCCTGAGCTGTACTGTTTGAGCCACATTTCTACTGCTGGCTTTTGGTGGTTAATTGGAGGTAAGAGTCTCACAGAGGTTTTTCTCTGAGCTAGCATTGCACTGTGATCCTCAGATCTTCATCTTCTGAGTGGTTATCTATCCACATTGGGCATTACCTGTGTTTCACATCATGCAGAGAAGTTCTACAGAGGGTGGCATGTAATGTATGGTATGAGCACCGTGTAACAAAGATCATTGGATTTTAGGATTTATTCAAATCCAGACTTGGGTTTCTCTCTCTCTGTCTTTCTCTGTCTGTCTCTGTCTCTGTCTCTCTCTCTCTCTTTCTCTATCCTTTTTCCCCTTACCCTCCCCAAAGTTCCAAGGGATTTATAGGCTCTTATGTAATGAAAAAGGATGGAAGCGCAAACATACATTGTTTTGTATCACAGCTACATTTAAGAGTACTCCTAACACAAATGTTTCTTTTTCTTAGGCTTCTCCCATTTAATGCATTGTCACAGAGTTTTCAGCCATTGTAAACAAAAGTTTTCCAAAGGCCACTCACTTTATGTTCTTGTTTGTGTGTAGAATGGATTGATCCTCATGTGGGAAGGCCTCTGCACTTACTCTAACTTCACTGTCTGCGGTCTTTGTCCTCACTGTATGAAGATTTCCACTCTATACTTTTAGCTCCAGTTCCTAGTCTTCATCCTTGGACATGTTGCATTTTACCCCTTCAATGCCTATTTGAGTCATAATCCCTAAACTCAGTCATTAAAAACACCATCACGTAGTCGATACCTTCACTTAGACAGTAGACAAAATGGATAATGTAGGAACACACAGATGTGTGAAATGGAGTACACTGAAGTAGATATGAGTCCATGGTTTAGAGAACACCTCAGCTTCTGAGGGGCCTCAGCTTCAGATAATAAAGATAGGAGATACATGACACCCAAAAGATTAGGAAATAACTGGTGTAGAAATGTGTAATGCTCACTTAGCTAGAAATAGCATCAAATTCTTTCCTTAGTAGAAGCTGGGGGTGGTTAGGGGAGCTTATATGAACTGATCTGGAGGGAGGCATTGGGAAAGAGCATTCACCAAAGAAAAACAGTCATTTATCAGGAGTGTGCAGGCCACCAATGCAAAGACCAGGGGATGGTCTATAACTTTCAGATCATGATTTTTTATTGCACCTATTTTGTTTTTGCATAGTATTTTTAAAGTAAAATTTAAGCCACCTAGTTACCTAGATAGCTTTCTGGATTTTCTTTTCTACCTTGCTTCCTTGCTTTATTCTTTCCTTAAATTTCTATTTTTTTCTTTTTTCTACTTCCCTACATATGTACATTTCTATCTATCTACATCTGCCTAGCCAACTACCTACCTACCTATGATTAGTGTCATCACTTATCAATTTCTGGGTAATACTGATTGTGATTATTCTTTTGGATATGACAGGGAAACAGTGAAAACTCTGGGAATCTGGTCTTATAATATCTAGTAACAGAGCAGCAGACTTCTATAATTATTTTAATTGTAAAACTGGTTAATTTTTTTCTGAGTGACTTAATTATATAAAAAGCTGTCATGAAAACCATAGGGGCTGGGAGGGTGGCTCAGTGGTAGAGTGCTTGCCTTGCATGCATGAGATCCTAGGTTCGATTCCTCAGCCCCAAATTAGCAGTGGAAGTGGTGCTGTGGCTCAAGTGGTAGAGTGCTTGCCTTGAGCTGAAGAGCTGAGGGACAATGCACAGGCCCAGAGTTCAGGCCCTACAACCAACTTGAAAAAAAAAAAAAAGAAAAAAGAAAAGCATAGCATGGATCATGTCAAAATTAAAATGCACTTATAAAAAAAAGAGCAGTAGAGAACAATAGAGTCAATCTGCCTTAGGTCTCCAAGGAAAAATATTTTCTTTTTTTTTTTGTATAAATGCATAGATTTTCATTTTCTTTTCTTTTTTTTAGAGGCACTAAAGTATATTTAACATTAAAAAATGTTTCACTTCACTAACATGACAGACAGATCCTGTCCAAACAATTAAAATCCAGAGTTAGGGAAGGAAAGATCTTAACCCATTTCAGAGGTGGAGTGAGGGAGCTGAGTAGTAATTCAGGATGGGTCAGGCTCCTCTACTAGGTGGAGAGATGAAGCCTCAGACTCATTGCCATCAGGAGTCAGGCTTAATGCTCACAAAGAACAAAGAGCTAGATACATTGGAAACTGGTTCCTGATGAGTCAATGGGGAGGTCAGTTGTTTTTCTTCAGTAAGAAAAAAGAAGTTGTCTGGGGTGGGGGCGGGGGATGGAGACTAAGGGCCACCATTCCACAAAGGTTCCTTTCTTTTCCAGTAACACTGTCCCTTCATTTTCTTTTAATGTATATTTTATTGTAAAGATATTTAACAGAGGAGTTACAGTTACATGAGTAAGTAATGAGTCCATTTCCTATTGATCATTGTCACACCCTCCTTTAAAAACATTTTCTGAGGACAAATTTGCTCTGTGCAGGTTTCTTGAGACCCCACCCCTGGTGACTTTAGTTCTGGGCTTTGACAGGCATTTCAGCCAGCCTACATCTGGGCCAGGCCTGCAGCTCCGCCCACTACTTGAGGATTTGCATGTGCCTAGAGCACAGCCTACTGCCCCGAGAATTTCTTTATAGTCTGCTCACACCCTGTGCAGAGGAGTCAGTTGCAGTCAGCACACAGCATGGACATGAGGACTCCTGCTCAGCTCCTGGGGCTCTTGCTGTTCTGGCTCCCAGGTAAGGAAGGAGATGCTAGGCATTTACTCAGCCCATTGTTAACATTGTTGCCTCATTCTTCATGAACGGTCTCAGAGCATAATTAATTGCGTTATTTGTCTTTTGTTTCCAATATCAGGTGCCAGATGTGACATTCTGATGACCCAGTCTCCTTCCTACTTGTCTGCGTCAGTAGGAGACAGAGTCTCCATCACTTGCAGAGCCAGTCAGGGCATTCGTGATTATTTACAATGGTATCAGCAGAAACCAAGGAAAGCTCCTAAACTTTTGATTTATTGGGCAAATGGCTTGCAAACCGGGGTCCCATCCACATTCAGTGGCAGTGTATCTGGGGAAGAGTACACTCTCACCATCAGCAGTCTTCAGCCTGAAGACTTTGCAACTTATTACTGTCAACAGGGTAGTAGTTACCCTCCCACAGTGATACAAGCCATAACATAAACCTCCCAGGGAAGCAAAAGTGAGAGGCTGGACTGCCCCAGCTGCTCCTCCTGGGGCCTTTGCCTACAGATAGTGCTTCTCAGCTAGAGCAAGTCTCTGAGGTTCAGTGGGGGTTTGGGCCAGGTGGTCAGTGACAATCTTCTCAATTTTTTCTTTCTTCCATCTCAGTCTCATTGGTACCTACCAGACAAGGCTTCTGTTGTCTTATAGAAAACACAAGTCTGTATTTCAGAGCACTTGTGATATGGTATTCAGGTGGATATGATTTCCACTTGGTCACAAGAGAGACCTTTGCCTTCTCTTTCCTCCTCTTAAACTGCTGCAAGCACTTCCTGACTTGCATAGTGTTTTCCCTTCTAAGTCTGAGATGAATGCTCAGCTTGACTTTGTCTTAACATATTAGTGCTCCTTGGTTCACTCTTTAAAATGAGGTCTTGCTGGGTACTGGTGGCTCATGCTGGGTACTGGTGGCTCGATCCGAGCTACTTATGAAGCTGAGATCTAAGCACCTCAGTTCAAAGCCAGCTTGGGCAAGAAAGTCTTTGAGACACTTATTTCCAGTTAGCTACCAGAAAACCAGAAGTGGAGCTGGGGCTCAATGTGCTAGAGTGCTACCTTGAGCAAAATATCTCAGGGAGAGTGTACAGGTCCTGAGTTCAAGCACTATGATGGACAAAGATAAGGAGGTATTTTAGTAAAGTCCTGAGGCTGGTAATTCCCTAGATCAGTAGCAAGGACAGAGGGGAAGATGAACAATGAAATCTATAATATGCTGAAAAATGAATGGAACTAGAGATCATGTTGAGTGATATAAGTTGGAATCCCAAAGCAAATTGTCCAAGGCCCCACTCATTTGTTGAACCTAAATGATGATGATGATGATGATATAATAATAATAATAATTAAGTAGTAGTGACAATAAAAATCAATAATGGGTCATGAATGCCAAAAAGGGAAAATGTTTAAGGAGATAGATTAGGGGGAAAGGAAGGGAGCAAAGGCACTAATGATTGAATATGAATTAAGTATAATGTAATATATATATAGTATAATCCATACATACACACATATACTTGTGAATAATGGAGTCTATTACCTATTGTCAGAAAAATGGTACGTGTTAGACAGGAAAAGACTGGAAATCTAAAGTGAATAGTGAAAATTTTGAAAGTACAATGCATTTAGGTGTAGAATTATCAAGAAATCACTTCATGCTATTAATATACATAAAATACAGTTAAACAAGAGGTAAAAACAAAAAAAATGACAAAATTTCACATAGAAAATACTGGGACTCTCTTGCAGAACTGTTTGAGGTAATCATTTAATATAATATAACCAAGACAAAACTCCAAATGAAAAGCTTACCTATTGATTTGTCACAAAGTTGTCACTAGTTGACAAACAATGCACACAAGGAGAAAAATCCAAATCTTGACCTTCTAAACCCTGGGAAAGCATGGGTAATACTGCCCTTTATCAAAACAGCAAGAAACTGGGGAGCTGTATTCGAGGCTTTCATGGTACATAGGCAGCTGGGACCATGCTTTTAGAGGGGTCATGTCCCCCACGTGAAAGTTTCTATTTCATATTTTACTTTGAAAGTGTAATCACACCTGATAAGGATGATACTTCCACCAAGATTCCTTTAGTGATGTTATTAAGTACAGGTCAGAAAGGTAAGAGAAGGAGGGTTGACCCTGAAGATATGCAGCCTTGAAGGGAGCATGTGTACACAACATGTCCAGTTGTCGGAGGTGAGAGGGGGCTGCAGTGTCAATGCTGTCTCCAGCAGGTCCCTGGTGTCCTCTTCAGAGAGCAGGTCACTGCTTGTCCTCAAGGGCACACATTGTATCCTGAGCTTCATGATGCTCAGGATAAGAGTGAGGATGGGTTGTGTGGTGATTCTCAGGTTCAGAATTTAAAATAATGTGTTAAACAATTAAAATTATATTTATTAAATTGCTAATCTAATAGCTAATTCAATGCATATGTACAATAGACATATAACTTCTGCATTCTTTCCTTTATGAAGTGCTCTTCTACCTATATGTAATAAGTACAACAACTCTGTCCTGAGGACCCTGCTGATTCCCCTCAGAAGCCCTGAAGCATCCTTCCCCCAGAGTCAGCCCTGCTCTAAAATCTGGGTCTCTCAGACTTTCACCTTGGTCCTAGACATCATTCAGTTCATGCCCTAGATTATAATCACTTTCTTTTCTTGGGACTCTTTATTCTTCCAGGAAGATCCACAGAAAGCTTTTCTAGTCTCCCCTTTCTCCTATCCTCAGCTACATCTCTCAGTCGGAACTCCTTCCCTCACAACCCAGGCAAGTAGAAGCCAGCCCACATCTTTGGTTTGAGGTCATTGCTTCAAATTCTTCCATGTATTCCAGTTCCTGAAGTCCGTGAGGACTTGAGATTCATAAGACACATGTTGCTGAAGCCAGACCTGGAGCATGGATCGTGAGAATTTAATGTGTAGTCCTCAGAGCCTGGCTACTTACAACCCCACTTGAATAGGTATTCTTGGGGTCTCATTTTGTGACCCTATTATCATGTCCCCTCTGATGTGCCAGGTGGCTTTCATACCTACCCAACCAGTTACATTTCCCTTATTTAGTACCAGCTTTGTCCTACAATGAATGGTAGAGAGAGAAAATTTCTCCCAATAAAGGCAGTAACAGAGATTGAGGGGCCCATATGAGAAGAACAGAAGTTAAAGGGAATTTGAAGGAGTCAATATAGCTTTTCCATAGTAAATTATAAATCATCATCAAAAAAAGGAAGAAGAACATGGTAAAATCCTTCCTGGAGCAGTTATGTGCTTCAGATAGTCTTAATGTTGTGCATGTAGGAGGAGATTGTCAAATCAAGACTCAGATACAGTTTATATAGTGTGTGATACTGAAGAAGTCTCTGACTGGACAATGACTTAGCTGTGGGCTATATTACTTTGAGCAACTGTGTTACTTTTGTGCACCCACAGCCGCTACTTCAAATTATGATGTTCAGTTCCATGTGAAAACTCTGCTCATCTGTTCCCAAATGTGACTTCCTACACTACACAATGCAGTGTGTCACCACATGCTGATCTCCATTTTGGGGCTTTCGAATTTCACTCTAGCTTCACATTCTATGATCAGTTATTCTTGATTCTGCATACAGAAAATGTCCTCTCGATCCTGTGTGGCTGTAGTTCCTTGTACATAGGAATGTGTATTTAAGAAAGGGGTAGGGATGAGGTAGAAACATGAAAAAAAGGTGACATCAAGGTACATTGCATTTATAAGCTTACATATTTAATGACAACTCTTTTGTACAACTACTTATAGATTTTTTTTATATATATATATATATATACATACATATATATATGTATGTATATATATATATATATATATATATATATATATATAATGACAACACAAGAAACCTGTATGAAGTTTTCATTTGTCTGCAGTCCCATTTCTCTCCATTTCTTTGTAGGTTATGGATGGAGTGCTGGGAAATGTATTTCCTGAAGAGATTGTGATGAGAGGAGTTCACAGCTGATGACGCAGTGAGGGCATGGCCCATCTCTCAGAAGATATCCAGGAAGGCATTGCCCAAGATCATGTTCACATGTGCCTCTTCCTGTCAGCAACTTGTAACCATAGCAAGTTTCAGGCAGTCTCAGTCCATGAAAAATGAGGTATTTGCATGAAATATGAAAGGGAGTCTTCTTAAACAGAACTATTTCTTGACACAAAGGAAACAAACACAACTAACAAAGTAACTCACCTAAGTTCTGCATAAGAATATTTTTAATGCACATTTGTTTAATCTTCTGTCTGTACTCAGGTTAGGGCTGTCATGACTCTGTCACACTATGGTGTGTTAATAAAAATAGAACCAAGTGCAAGTTGAGGTGGCCAAGCATATGATTGTCCCACAGAATGGAAAAGGTCTGTATTAGCTAGGCATCAGACAATCTAAAATATATTTAGAGCTCAAAAAATAAATCCCCAAAACAAATCCTTAAAGAAACAACCACATTAATATGTGGGCTAAAGACTTGAAGGAAGATTTCTCTGAAGAAGAAATAAGAATGGCCAATAGACACATGAAGAGTTGTTCAATATTTCTGGCCATAAAAGAAATGCAAATCCAAACAACACTGAGATTCTGCCTCATTCTTGCTTCAAAGCCCCAGGTAGCCTCCTCCCAATATGGATGACATTTTCATGTGCTGCTACTTCTAAGACTCTGTTCATAGATTCTAACATAATCTTCATTTTTAGGGTTCTATTCACTCTGCTTAGGCTTAGTGTCTTTAACCTAGGTGTGGAACATGGTGTTCTTTTTTGGTTTTTGGTTTTTGTCAGTTGTGGGCCTGAATTCTGGGCCTGGGCGCTGTCCCTCAGCTCTTCAACTCAAGGCTAGTCCTCTACCACTTGATCCACAGCACCACTTCTGGCTTTTTCTGCTTATGTAGTGCTGAGGAATCGAACCCAGGGCCTCAAGCATGCAAGGCAAGCACTCTATCACTGAGCCACCTTCCCAGACTGTGTTCTCTTAATTATTAGAAGAGTGCACGGAGTGAAGGGGACATATGCAGGTTTAAATACTTCAATGGGCTTCAGGATAACTGGAAATTTATGCTCCTTTTCAAGGATAATCTCTGCTTCTCAACACAGTAGCTTGGGTGAAGACACATGGACATTTGGCATTACACACAGAGCTAGGTTGGTAGAAAAGATTGTTCCACTGTGAAGGGTGTAAGCATTATGCTCACCTTTGGTCCTGAGCTCCACCCAGACCTGAGCTCCTCCCTGCCCTGGAGTTCCTACCATACAGCTGGTCCCTCCCTCTCTCTGCCCAGACCCACTAGAACTCCCATCTACCTCATTTCCTAACCCCCAGACCCTGATGCTATCTAGATAGTGGAGGCTGCCATGCGTTCTCTCTCTGGTAGAAATATGGCTCCTCTAATAAACCTTGTAATAATCTTTCTCCTGTGCCTGCCTGCCTGCACGTGATACCCTGGCATGGATGTGAAGCATCCTTTCAT